GTACACATGAGTGATTACAAAATAAATAACGGCTTAGCTTATCAGATCAGGTTTGCTTATTTTCATAAGAACCACCAGCATCAATCAGGAATCAAGTATCCGCTATTGTTCACATCAGAGCGAAGCAATGATAATTTGGTATATGAAGCACTGAAACAGCCATAATTTGAAGAGGAGCAAGCAGGTATTATTTTTTATCTAGCACTGCTTTTATTAATAACAATCTTCTACTTTTTTAAACACTTGTTTAAATTTCTCCCAGCCAAAAACACACAGGAAAACCTGTCTCCCTGCCAAAGCACCTTCTAAACTCATGGAGCATATTAAGCACGTTACATGAATTTTATAAATTCATTCCTCAAAGCATTCTTTCATGCAGCCAAAACCTATGCTCAGAAGCTCACCATTCTGCATACCTGTTAATGGCCTTTCCTCCAGTCTTGAGGAATGCAATCCTGACTCATTGGCTTCCTCCCAGATTGCTGCTCCAGAGCTGATCACATTGGTCAAACTCCTTCAGTGCTTAAATCTCTTTTCTATGGTGTCAAATGTGAACCACTTCTTTCACAGCTGAAGACTTTGGTAGCTCGTTATAAAAAAATCATAGTATTTGCCAGGCTGTCTTGCTCTCCTTAAAGATCTTTGCCTCTTATTTTGACTATTACTAACTCATTGTTGCCTTTGCTCCTCAAGAACATACCCATCTGGCCTAACCTGCTTCATTCCTGGTGAGTCACACAYGTGCATTAGATGTCTGAGTTTCCATTACCAGCATGAGAGATCACAGGTGTCTACAATCAGTTGTCTAAACACAGGCATTTGGAGCTACTCAAGGTGCCTGAAGGTATCTCAGATACCTACACATGGCTGGCAAATACAAGGATATTTATGTCTTCTGAAGTGGTAGAYGGAGGTCAGCTGAGATAACCTTATAGCTTCTCAATAGCCTCAGACATAATGAGGGCCGCTGAACTAGGCCCATCCCACCACTGAGTAAACAGGACGGTGGAAGTTACAGGTTTAAAGATTCCCTTCTCTGCTCCATATAAGTAAACAGGCAATAAAGCATAAAGGCAAAACTTAAACTAGATTAGTTCTTGTGGAGTTACACCAGTAAGGAGTTTAGTCCAGCACATTAATTCCTGAGCTGCTTGATTCAAAAAGAAAGTTGGGGTGTTAAGTCAAGGTTGTGTTCTTCACAAATTCTGCTTGATGAAATACAATGAAAAGCTGACTATTTTGACCAAGTCAGAGAGAGGTTTGGTCATTTCACTGAGTATCCTCTCCAGACCTTCACAAAAAAAAAAAAAAAAAAAAAAAAAAAAAAACAGCTGCTAAAGTTGAAGAAAAAGACTAAAATAAAATGCACTTTTTGCCCCTAGCATCATGCCTAGTTCCCTTCAAAATCTCCAGAAAGTCTCCCCATCTGTGGTTTTATGAGCCCTAACATTTCTGCAAAGTGACTGTTCTTCAGACTAGCAGATTGTCCAATGGTCTAGGTTCATTTCCCTGCATTTTTTTTATATTTATGCAAAAATTTTGTAATTTAAGATCCTCACCTCAAGTTACAGTACTTTTCAAGCTTCTTAAAYGTGTTTACAGGCCCCAAAGCAAACAATTAGCATTGCTTCTTTTTAATTTTTGCCTTTGGTAAAATTATTGTTTCAGTTTATTTGTTTTCTCAATCTGTTGACCAGCTGGCTTACACTTCATTTGGGATTTCTATCAGCATCACAATTCATTCCCGCAGAGAAACTTTCCAAGATTATACCCTTACAGTCCAAATAATAAAAATTATGTATTAAATTATTTCGAGAAAAAAATCTATTAATTTTTTAGCATCTCAAAGCCCTTCGGTTGCTTCATGTAAGAACCCTCTCCTGCATAATATCTGCCTTTTTACAAAGTAATAGACCCATGTTTTGCACAATGTTCACTATCAGTACTGTCCTAAAAGAGGTCATGGAGCTACTGGTAGTTTTGGGAGGCTACTAAATAGAGTCCTCTGAAGTAAGCCAGACTTAGGACTCAGTATACACTGGGAGCCTGAAAAAACAACGTTAACAACTTGACAAAACAAAGGTATTCCTCTGATTCAAGAAAAATAAATACAAATTTCTCCCACCCAAATCTAACCTAACCTCAGGTTCAACTGTATTAAAAAACTTCATTTCCAGGCAAAAAAGATGGAGCAGCTTATTCACAGTTCTGGCCCTCAAAGACCAAACCTTCATTTCATGTTTTTATGATTACACTTATATTGTGTCACGATTTACCAGCGGCTGCGTTATATTATAATATACATTGCCATTGCTTGGCTCTGACTGTATGCATTCAACTGAACAGCTAAGGATGCATGGCTCAATGCATATTCATTGCTGCAGTGCCATTTCTCAGCTGCTGAAACAGCTGCGTGAATCAGCAACAACTTCCACAACTGAAAATAGCTGCAACCCTGCAGGATCCTTGGGCTCMGGGCATGCTATAAATCTCCCTTGTAGGCCTGGTAAGAACACGGTGCAAGTGATTTTATTCATTTGCTTTGTAAGAAATCTGTAAAATGCACGTGCCACTGCAAGAAGAACTTGGTATTTATTATACATTACTGCAATAATAATGAGATTGGTGGCATTACCTTTTCCTTATAATAATGTAAAGATGTAAATATGTAACGTAATTATATAATGTAAAAATGTAATATAAAAGATTCCTGAATATAAGGCTTGGTCAATATGCTTCCAATTAAATCATTTTACTGCAAGACCACCGTAGATAATATGGTAGATATTGGTGTAAATAATGTGTAGAAGCAGTTTTTTCCTTAAGGAATTTGAGAACATATGTGCTGTGCATCCTTAGCCGGCAACTTAGTCCCTCCTTTCCACCTACTCCAGCACAAAACCAAACTCTGCATTGGATCACTTGCGGAGTTGTAACTAATTATATAAATGCACTAATTATACACACTCTTCAAATTGTGATAGACTTCAAAGTAGGTAAATTTTAAATTGTGCCATTAAGAAAATCTATTAGATGATGGAAATTTCTGTAACCTCATATTGCAGTCTCCTGCTTTGTAATTCTGCTTTCAAGTCAGTATTAATTTAATGACAAATAACTGCAGAGAATACCAGTGTTGGGAAAGCAAACTGAAAGCTGCAAGATTTATAGAGTGATATTGGTCAGCAGATGTTAATAAAAGGGAACAGAAAACAATCTGGAAAAGCAGCCGATCTAAGGTAAACAATAAGAAGAGAGAAGTTCTGCATGATAAATACGGACACGGAGCCTTCAGAAACCACTGTGTTCACAGAAAGATAAACACCTGCGAGACCGACTTATCCTCATGTGTTTAGCTACTCATGAGAAAATATATATGCCATTGAATGCTTAATTTGCATGCACAGTTATCACACCGCTAGTAGCAACTTGCAAATGAGTTACTTGCCGTTCAGAGCCTCTCTCTGCATGCAAAATAATAACAGCTGAATGTACAAAGGCGCTCTGCGAGGGCACGCACAGCTCGGTTCACAACTGCATGCACACACATTTAGGCAAAGCATGCTGCTGCACAAAGCACACCTTCTTTTTGCACCTCCGTATGTATGTCTGATTGATACCCTCTTCGCTTTCAAACCAAGATCTTTACTGTTAACATTGCATGCTCACCAAAAACCACATTTTTTTTCAACATAATAGCACTTTAGTGAAGTCTCATGAATGCATGGAAGATGATATTCGCTCAACTCCATTCAGTAGTTACTCTATACGTTGCACTGATGTCCTAGGTGATTATTTCATGTACGGTGTAAGAATTTATGTATCTTTACTGCAGAACCTAGGTCTTGCATTAACAAGCTCACTACTGCAATTACAAAGTCCCTGTGTTAACACAGATGCCATAGCAGGAGATGTTAAATATTGTTTACTAGGGCAGTAGGGAGATAAATGCTGAATGACGCTAAAAGGAAGGTTTTTACCATCAGTTATCGTAGTTGGATTCACAAATCTAGGTCTCATACAAGGTTATCAGTTAGCTCAACCTGCCAGAATAAACCCCCATTGAAAATAATACCTTCAAAGAAACCCTCCTGATATTTAGCAAAATGATCTGCTAGCTCCTCCACCGCTCCAACTGCAACACTATGAAGACATTTGCCACTCTGCTAACTGGAAAACAGTCTTAACTTCACTGAATGTAAATTATGGAGGGTTTATCACTCTCTTCCCTTTTTGCAACCTGCCACTTCTAAAGAGAGGACAATGTTGGGGCTAGTTGTATTTCACATACATATTTCTCCATTAAAACAAACAACAAGGCTTATGTYACAGCTTCCAGATGTTCTGCTGTGCCTCATCACGCTCTTAGTATAAGGAAAAGGAGATAGTAATCCCTCACCTTTCATCAAACCCTAAACAGCGTATGTGGTAGGGAAGAAACAGAACCCCTGAAATGAATTTAAATGGTGTTGCATGGAGAAAGGGAAATGGTCTGTCTTCCATCACACAAAACCCAGGGTTAGAACAGAGGGTGCTACTAAGGTGCTGGTTGTCTCACCTGGTCAAATGAAGTTAAGGAATGGCTTCATAGAGGCATCTTACAATCTCTGATGGGTAATCCTGAGCTGCCAAGTTCTAGAAGTGAGCAGGAYTTGCCCTCTAAGTTCAAGAACTCTTGGGTCTGAAATTTTTGCTAGATCCTACAGAGCATGGTGTCCAGGTGACCATGCATAAATTTAAGGTTACAGGCTTTTGCTCTGGCACATCTGTGTAAGTCTAGAGGAGATTAAAACTATTTTTACACAAGAATGAAAYATTTTCTTTGCATAAAGTCATCCAAATGAGGACGCTTGCATAGAAGCTGGAATCTAAAATAAATACCAACRAAGTTCAATATTGGAACACTCTTCACCAACAGAAACCCAGAGGAGAGGCACAGAGCAGGGAATGAGTTTTTGCTCGTTGTCCATGAAGCGACTCCACACTCTGGCCCATGTTACCTTTTGATAATCTTCTTTGGATCTCAAGGCAGCTTCCATCTGCTCCTGCGAGAAGGTGTAGATGGCGGAGCGATACTGCGTGCCAACGTCGTTCCCCTGCCGCATCCCTGGAGAGAAAGAGAACACATTGTCCCATCAGGAAAACGTGCCCTACCCAACTGGACTGCAGCACATAAACTCAACAGAGCTCAGTTTTGTACGTTCTGTACACCTGGATTCAAACAGTCTCTTATGAACATACTCAGCAGGTATTTTTAGCAAGTCCAAGCCGCTGTTTGGTTATATAGTCTTGAAGAGATTCAACTCTGATATTTCTGTTGAAATGACATGCAAATTAAAAGTGAGCATTTTACATTTTGGTAAATCACATACTAGTCAAATATAGATGTAAAACCTTAAATAATCAAGCTGTAGTTACTGCAATCAAGGTACTCTTAAAATTAYCTTGATCCATGCAAATGCTTTAAAAAACTTTGATTTTAGCAAGTGTTTAAAAATTCTCGTGTACTGAAGGATTACATTTTAATGGGAGAAAGATTCAAAATTCCCTTAGGTGTGACTAACTGTCCTCCTCCACACACACTGCAGTGATTGTGCTAAAAGAACAGAATGCATTTGTTGCTGAATTAAGTCTGGAGCTAACTTCTCTAACCCCAAATATCACCATCATCTATGGAGATGGGAAATGACTCTTAGGAAGCTCCTCAAATCTGGAGGAAAGTATCCAAGTATCTCTCGAAAAGAGGAATGGGATAGGGAGAAARCACAGAGAAGGCTTGGCTGGTTTAGAACTGGGTTTAGAATGGTCATGCCATGATGCTTAGGACCAGCATCCCTTCCACAATTTGGGTAATTTGGGGAGAYGTATAAAACAAAGGTATATAAGTAATCTCTGATCCTAAATTCTTTTGGCCTCTTGTGAGTGATAATTTGGATGGCGAAATGACATAATATTGGTTTTACTTAAGCATTAGCAATCTATCTATTGTTTAATAAACTCCTTAACAACTGACGAGGGAGTAGATTACAAAAATAATTGTAAATGGAGTGTAAATGTAAATGGAGGATGACACTGGTTTCCAAGAGGATGACACTGGTTTCCAGTAGGCTCTTCAGGAGGGTGGGATTAGCACAAGCTCCTGTGCATGGTGCTCTGAGCACAGAGATAAACAAGATTAAATAATACATGCAAAGGGCACCCATTAAATAGTAATAGCATGGTGGCTGGCTTAATTAATTTATTGAAGAGAAGGTTAAGRGAATTGATTCTGATACACAGATATCTACATGAGGAGATGACCTGAGAGGAGAAAGGCTTTTTTGTTTTGCCAAAAATATATCAYGTAGGGAGAGCAATTGAAAGTAAACAAATCCAGATGAAAAAGAAGGAATGTGACATTCAAATAGTGARGAGAGCTAATCACTGGAACAATCTCTGTAAACATGCACCCGTTTCTTGAGGTTTTCACATCAAGGCTAARTATTTTCCCCAAAGATGTTCCACAGCTCAAAGGGTAGATATGATTCAGTGATGAAATTATTGAATAAGCCATACAGGAGGTTAGAYCGTGATAATAATGGTCCCTCCTAGCCTTGAAGTCTTGATTTGCCCTGTTACACCATCTGCTCGCTGTAAAAAAGACTGAAGAGGATCTATCAGTATTGCTCAAAATCGTGGCTTTCGTGTGACCAATCATCTAACCTAAAATCTCATTTATTTTTATTTGTACTTTAAATCAATTTGTACCAAAATCTGAAGCGATAAATAGCTAATGCATYGTATGACTATACCACACAGGCTACAGGGCACTAAAACATAACTAATTCTATGTGTATAGGCATTATCAAACACAACTAATGCTGCTGCTCTTTGTAATCTACTTCACATGTGCAAACTTACTTCTCAAGGGTCCATCATGGACTTTTTAAAGCCCTCTGGCAACTCTTATTCGTTGAAATCCGCTAACCCAATGCGTAACAAACAAGGCAAGAAATTTAATTTACGACAAAAATACRCTGCAATGATTGAGCTTAACAATCTTGTCTTTGTCTGAAAGAAAGTCTACTAAATCAGCAATGATCTCYGCTTGGCTCTCTGCAAATTCCACAGTGTCATCTGTCGTTACCTCTTCTTCCTCACGCGAAACRTCTCTCTCATTTTGTCCATGCTGACATTCTGTCTCTCTCAGTTAACRTAATACTCCAGTTATACACACTAGGCCTCAGATATGAACGCAAAAATACGGCTAACTAATTTCATAAAGGCGCTAACAGTGCTAGAAGATATTGTGGATTATTAAATCAAAAGCCATTCTTATTGGAACGCCATGGGTTCTAGCTGTACAGATTACACATTAGGCTCTCACCAAGTTTTCTGCTGAGACAGTGAGTCAACATCTGATCCCCAGTACCCCAAAATGGTTCCACTGAAGTCAAGRATTTTAGTCTAAGTTTATTATGTTACAATCTGAAGTTGGCCTGCTATGTCGACATGAAAGGACAGGACACGCTAACMCAACTTATGGTGAGTGATGCCAATAGGACTTCACGGGAGCAACTTAAATATCTTCCAAGACTGGAAGATATTTATCTGTTGTAAAAAGTAATCAGTAATGAATGCGTTTCAGGATAAGATTTCCCTCAGAAATTCTCAAGAAACAAATTACTGAAAATGAGACCTTGGCACACTTAAAGGAGAAAGTAATTTTTCCACTGGTAACAAATTCCATTATGGAGAGAGGTASCTGATTTTGCTCTAATTCCAGATTTAAGGACTGAAGCAGGAATTTCTAAATCTTCACTGCTGAAATAATGAGTAATTCCTGCAGAATCTCAGTCGAACATCTTCAGAGCAGCAGATTTTCTGGACAGGGAGATGGTGATTGCATACAACTGCTCTTCTGCAAGATGTCTTCAATCCTCCCTGTGTGTAACCTGCAAATAACTACTGTGCAGCAGAGATGCAGATTTTGTTTTTGGTTTTGTTTTTTCCATAATGGCATCTAAGGGGACATATAATGTTTCTGCCTCTGCTGCAAAGTATGTATGCTGTCACACATTGAGCAGGATGTTTTCTTCCCTCTCAGTTCTTGTCAGACTCAGTAGAAATCCCAGTGCCAATTTAAGGATAAAATTTAGGGCAGATCCAGAGCGTAACTCTATCCTTCATATATACGAGGAAACTGTTACTAAAACCCAAATCTCCTTTTTTTTTTGTGGGCTGAGTGACAACCAGGTTGCCTCTTAAAGATGTTAAGACAATATGTTTACACAGAGAGATAATTTCCTTGACAAGAGGAAAGACCTTCACCAACCCTTTCAGAAATTCTGCGGTGACAGAACGAGAAAATACCAAGAAATAGAATGAGAAAACACCAAAAAATCCTTCCTCTGCAGCAGTATATTTTGAGTCAGGTAGAGCCACGTCTTGCAAGAGCAACCGGAGCGAATGTACCCGGGGGCTGAAAGACTAACACTTGCCATTGATACCTGAAATAAAGAAAATCAGCAAAGATAATGCACTGCCCAGCTGAGAAGAGCCTTAAAACCCTTCCAAAGAGATGTTTAGACAGAGAGATACTGGAGAAAAAAAAATATATGGTTTGGAATTTTATACAACACAGAGACCATCATTGGAGAATAAGGAGATAACAATCAAAGAAATGGCTCTAGAATCACCAAAGTCTTCTTTCCTACACTTTAATATTCTCTGAAGTACCTGGGTAGGAATGAGTTTTAGGTTTTGGTCATTTTCTTTTGGATCGAGAGCAAATATGAGATCTCTGTTGATGTGAACGACTGGAATACATGAAAACTTCCCTTCTTCAATTTACTTGATCAATGCTTCTTCCTGCACGATTTCTACATCTTAATCTACATCTACATCTGTGGTAGCCAAAACTGCTTGCAAAACTTGTTAGCCACAGCCAGAGAGTGGCCTCTCTATAGCTATAGCCATCTCCATGCTGTTATACTACGGTCTGAGTGGTCCTTGTCCTTCCCAACTCCATAGTATTTTAAGATCAATAAGAAACATCCTCAGCATTAATAAAAATATATATTTCCCAGTATCACATAACTTTTCCTTCAGAGACAGAGAATTTATTGCAAACAAGCAGAACCTTTCAAAATTGTGGTTTTTCTTGTGCGTTTGTTTCATTTTTTGAACAGACTTTGTTTATTTTATTGGCTGAATCAGGGACTTATGCTGAAGACTCAACTCCCTCTAATGACTTCAAAGTAATATTTACACAACACTCCTTATCTTCTCTCCATTTAAAAATAATTTTAAAAAAATATAATGGCATCATTCTTCAACCTTGCTGTTCTCAGAGGCTCCCAAGCATAATGGAGATAAATGACTGAGGTCTCTTACTCTGTTCTGTGCTGCACAGTGAAATTTTAAAGGGCAGTTCCTAGCTCTTATTTTTCTCATAATTTCTTCTATGATTTATAGACTTTTCGGTAGCTGTCACTTACTTTCTTACACCTGCAAAAGCCTGATTTACTGATTGGCCCTTTTCCTTTCCCCAATCAATGCTTGCTGAGTTAAAACTAATAAAATTCCTTCGTCCAACTCATCATACAATTATTTAGTAAAAATCCATTGCACTATGTCACCCTGGCCTGATGTCATCGCTCACTGTAATGATCTCCATAGTTCAAAAGTTGCCAAGGAAAAGTAAAACTCTCTATAGAATAYGATTAAAGAAGAAATATATTAATAGAGCAGTGCTAAGGATTAAGAATTCTTGGCAAATTTCAAAATTCTGGGGTGCAGGAAGGATTAATGAAATATAAAAGAGTTTCTTCAAACGGTGAAGCAATATATTTACATTGCTGAGCTTGTACAGATTTAAAGAAAGCTTTTATACTGTTAATAAACCACAAAGCTTACAAAGCTTTCAGTACCAAGGGGGAACCTACAGGACAACTACTATGTAGCTGGAGGAGAATAAAAACCTTATTCCACGTCATCTGTGTAAACAGCACATGCATTTTCTAGCCCAAGGCATGCTCCTGAATATTCTTGATTTTACTACAGTATTTGTATGCGTGTATGAAGATAATAGAAAATAAATAAAATAAAAAGAGATCAGAATTCTTC